TAAGTTTCAGGTTTACATTTAAGGATGACCAGTGTGGCGAAAGCAGAGTCTATACAAAATCCATGAGTGTGTGTATGATGAATGAAATGACGGCCGTCAGTGAATGTGTGAGTGAATGAATAAGAGAATTGTATGACTGGACAAGTGCCTTAAACACCAAACACCTCACAAAATAACACTACCTCAGTCACATGGTCACTTTAAGAGAATTTAGTTTTGCTAAGCTTAGCCTGTTTTTGAAATGAAGTTGAACTCCCCAGTTATTTAAACCCTCAGATTAATAAAGGTTATAAGTCTATGCACGGTTGGGCTAAGGCCCCTAGGTTAATAAAGTTATTACTCCAAGTTGCACTACCCTTTAGAAATATAAGAAGGTTTTAAAAGGTTTACAGTAGAGGTATAAGAAACCAAAGCAAGCGATATGCTGGGTCATTGCAAGCTTTGGTAGTTTACAATGTACTGTTCTGTTGTTTGCACTGTTGTTTTTCACTGTTTTTGTGACCATCTTAAATAATTAAGAAGGGAGTGATGTAGGAGGTGTGTCCAGGGGTGCAGGGGATGCACCAAGGGCAGGGAAGCCCAAGGACATGCACCGAAATAGACAACCCCATTGGTCACGAGGTCACATGGTTTTAAGGGATAAAAAGAGCGCCAAGTTTGAATTAAACTCTCTTTGATTACCATCTGATCGGGGAGCAGACTCCATTTCTTTATCATATAAAGACTTCACACTACATACCTCTGCTAGTATTTTCTATGAATTAAAATTTCTAAACCTCTACATTTTCAGAATTGATCCAGCATTTTGCATGGATAAGATGCAGACTGGTTTAAAACATCTTTTTTAATCTATTCGGATAAAATGATGCTGTTAAAGAGAGAAGTATTTATTCAATTCTTTTTGTATGCTTCAGAAGACAGTGTTTTGAGCCTTGTGTTGATGTCAGTGAGCTCATTATCATTTTGATCATAACAGTGATAAGCACTTTATGTCTAAGAACAACAGCTGGTCACAATGTTTTCAAGTATACACAGTTTTAAAAAAGAAAAAAGTAAGTACAGAACAGTGATTTTTGTAGACTTTGCCTTGGTTTTTGTCATCTTTCAGAGGGTATTTCAGCTCACTTCTTTCACATTTGTCAATCCTTAATTTTGAAGAAAGGAAATCAGTGACATTCTCTGTTGTGGAGGTAGTGAGCTGACTCCAGTCAGAAAACCAGAACATCAGAGCTGCTTGTGCAAATCCTTCTGAGCATCACCATTCTTCAATAAAAATCAAACCAATCCCCCTGATTTCGGAGACGTTGTTTGTATACTCCCTCATTTCACACACACAAACATGCCGCAGTGCTTTAACTGCTGACTGTCCTCTCAGCTTTGGAGTTTATCAACAATCAGGGAAAACTGCTAACTACCTAATTAATCCACTTTGCGAAGATGCTTAGCCACGTCAAGAAGAAAACATTATTGTTTGGGCTGAATGCGTGTTTACTTAAACAAACTGGGAGCTGGATTGTCCGCGTGAAACCTGTGCAATTCCTCCAGAATCCATGGTGCACTCGAGCAGGCAGGGGATTTGCTCCTGCATGAGTACTGTTCTCCTTCAAACAAACACCTTGTTTGATATGTTACTGTGGATTCAGGCACTTTTAAATCACCTTGTTTTACAAGCCACTCAAGTGTTGCAGTATCAGCACTGTAAAATCTTAATAGTCTCCTTTTGCTTTTGCAAGGCACTGCAGGAACCAGATGTCACTCACTTATGGGAAGCTGCTCTGGGCTTGTAAGGAATGCTGTGTTGTCCGCCATCAGCACCATGTTGGAAGATACCCATGAAAGCTCAGGACAAGAACATAAATGCTCTCTGGCAAAATAACTCTGGAAGTACACATGTTTTGATCCTGATAATCGTAATCGTCCTGATCTCTATCCCTGGTCATGTTTTCAGAGTTTTCTTCTGAAAAATTGCTTTTTAAAAAAAAAAAAAGTTCATGATCTAGAACTGAAACTTTCTTTAAGGCACTGGTTTAATGCCTTCAGGGGAATTCTCAGAATATCTCTGGGGTTGGAGATATTTTCCCTCATTTTATAGAAGAATGCAGGTGACTTGTGCTGGTTTATAGTTCGTTGTGATAGGGCAGTGACAGGTGTCAGATTGTTGCACTCTCACTCTCACCATTGATCTGACCTTCCCTTGAGGTGCTCATGAATGACTAGAGGAGAGGAGAAAAGGAGCAGTAGAATGGTGGGGAAAAAAAAAAAAGAAAAAAAAGAATTGACAGGATTTTATAGGAAAAAAGTTTTAAAAAAGACTGTGATGGTTTTTCTTGGGAGCAATGAGCAAACAGCACAACAGCAAGTGTCATTTCAAGTCCATAGTCAATAAATTCAGGAGATTACCGTTTGGAAGAAATAATTTCAGCTGCTTGGGCACCTTACTGAGTGTTTCATTACTGGCAATATAGTGATATCTGCGGTATTAACGGCTCCCCAGCCAGGAAGGCTTGCCACATAGACAGCAGCCATTGGAGAGCAACAACAGGAGAGGGTGCTGGGAGAGTGGGAGGAAGATACCAGAGATTTAATGACCTGAAAGTGAAGTGTTTGAAATATAATTACATGAAGAAGATTTGTTTTTCCTCTTGTGATTATGTTTGAATAACAAGGACTGCAGTACCTGCAAAGGAATTGGGAAGCAAATAACAGCTAGGGATTTGTTTTCTTTAGTTTCAAGAAGGGACATGATTTGAAGTGTAGTATTTGATTTAAATGGTCTCTCTCTGAATTTGAGAAGTGAGGGAAATAAACTGAAAACTATTTAAGTCAGAGAGGCGAGATCCCTTGTTAGTGTGTACACAGATACACTTCCAGCTAATTTCAAGGCAGTTTTTATTTATTCCAACTGTGCTGTGCAACAGCCGCAGAAAAGCTGGGCTACCTCAGGTGTATGTGATTGCCGTTTGTGTCTGGTTTTTAGTAAACCCTGCTCACACATCTCAGATGAGGGAATGATATTTGCCATGGGGCCTTTGAACCTGAGGCTGCATCACTGGGAAGGGAGGGAGGTCAGATGGTCAGGAAAGGATGCGTTTTGCAATTTTCTGTCTCTTCTCTGAGTCAAAGCACTCCTTACACCATCACTGAGTGCAGCCTAAGCGAAGAGTAGACATTGAATAAGGTGTGGATTGCCCAGGGACTGCTGTGCTGCACAGCCAGTCTGGAAATTGCTGTGAGATTGATTTAATTATATAAAGCAAACTGCTCTAATATACTAGGGATGTTAAAAGACAATATTCCCAGAAAAGAAGTTTGTCTTTAAAATCGAATGACTGAAGACAGCAATTTAATTAATGCTTTAGTACTTCTGGGAAGGGTTTTGTGATGTAGGTAAAAAGACTGAGTTTACTTTGTTCTGATAATTTTCCCCCAAACACTGGCTTGCTGGGACTGATGTAGGCTGAGTACCACTCTGCATCCCACATGAATTTCCTTCAGGTGTCCTGCTCATGTCCCAGCTATGCTCCGGATTCTCTGCCATCAGGGCACCCACTCTGCCAGTCCCTTTGGTGGCTGCTGGTCAGCCTGGCCTGCTCTCCTTTTCTCACAAATTGCTTTCCTGTAACCTTACACATCCACTGATTAAATGCCCAAATCTCTTCCCCAGCTCTTCTCTTAAGTGGCTGCAAACTGACAGCAAGGTGTGTATGAAGGGGACCCACTGGAGGATTGATGTTCACCAAGCATAAAGTAAATTTTTTCCCTCAGAAATAAATATATGGCATAAGTCCCTTTCTAAGGAAGATGATGCTCCTAGGGAGGCATAAAGGCTGAAATAGGTTATTGTAAAATTTAAGTGTATTCATCTTTAGTCTGTTCCTAGGTGCCATTTAAATACAAAGGGCAGAAAATGTGACATGCAAACTGTCAAAAAGTGCTACCTTTATAATTTCTTGATCTGTTTAATACCCAAAGGCTCTTCTGCCATTTGGCTGTAGCACACAGTGCTGCTCTAAGACCTGGGAAGGCTTTTAACCACTGTCATTGAGGCTGGAGCAAAATGGATAACTATAATTTTCTGGCAACGTGCACCTTCCTTAGCTTCTACTAAATCAGAAACTTTCACCCATTTCTCTGTGCCAGTTCAAGATCTTGACGTGTTCTATCTTATGCAACAAAATGCACTTGACTGCACTGCGGCTTAGTACAAAATAATGAGCTTTACTAGTCTTGCCAGCCCTGCCACAGGTTTTTGTGCTTGCAGTTATGTTCGACTGGAGTGAGAGGGCTTTGGGTTTTTTTCTTCAATGTACTGGGCATTAAAGCAGTCCAAAAGGCCTGGGGAGAGGTGAAGCTCTCTGGGCACCCAGCCCAATATGTGCTCCCTCGGGCTTTTTCTGTCCACCCTGTTGTGTTATAATTTTGCAAAAATGCAAAGAGAGAAACTTGAGATCTAGCAGATTTCCTCTATAGGGATTTCAGGGTAGAAATGTTTGTAGCTAGAAGGTACATAGATCACAATGACTAAAAAGAGGGGGGAAAAATGGATTTTTTGAGGCTGGAATGTGTGTTTTTTTGGAATTTCTTATTCTAGGTAAGACAAATTAATTGTAATGATAGTACAGCTACAGTACTACAGCTAATGATAACATGTGAAAATATCTAATGAAATGCTAGTATTGATGATGGTGTTGAAGCTTAGCCCAAATAGGCTTAGGGGCTCTCTAGTGCCCTCCTCAGTTCCTCAGGGTGGTATGCCTGGACTCTGCAACCCTCCTTCTGTTAACCATGTTAAGATGGGTCAGAACAAACAAAACTGAACATTTTTAATAGAGTAGGTAGAAACATTTTTCTTGGTTTTAGGAAGTTTTAATTGAGATGAAAATTCAGTGCTGAGAATTTTCATAAAATGAAAACAAAAAAAAAAAATAAATGACCAGGCTTGAAACATTTTAATTCTGCTCTCTCTCATTTCTAACATTTAATTCCTTTTTTTTTTAAAGAAAAATTGTTTCCAGAGGAGAAAGGAAGCAAGGTAGCAGAAATATGAAGAGAAACCTCACAGCTTCAAGTCCAAACGAGATATTCCTCAAAAATGACTTCTGTCCTGATTAATTTGCTAAAAATAGATCAACATCTTCCAGTAAAAACTCTCTATTAAAAAGATGCTGGCCAGCAAAAGTATCACAACTTGTGCCTGTGCATGGCTTCCTGTTTTCCAAAGGCCTCCACAAAACCTTCTGCTTTGTTTCCCACAGGACTTATTCCATGCATGTTTTAGATGTATTTTTCCATGGGTAGAAGAAGCTGGGACACACCCTCAATGGGGAAACACTAGGCCTGTTCATTGCCATCTGATTTCAAAAGGCTTTCCAGCCCTGATGGGCTGGTGGGATTTTTCCTGGGTGGTGGTGTTTCTGTGTGTAGCAGCGTGTGCCCTGTGCTGGAAGGGCCAGTGTGGCCCTTGGGGAGTGTGGTATGAAGAGCCACGTGGCAGCATTAAATTAACTGATGGAAAAAGAGCACTTACCTTTGCTGGATGGCATTTGAAATTTCTAACATGTTGCACAAACACAAATTACCCTTTGTGCTCCCCAAAAAGATAAAAACTGCTGCTCTTACAAAGCCAGGAGGGGTAAGAGCCATGATACAGTTACTACTGTGTCTATCTCTCTTCCAGATCATAGGATGATAGAATGGTTTTGGTGGGAAGGGACCTTAAAGATCATCTAGTTTTAAGCCCTCTGCCATGGGCAGGGATGGCACTCACTAGACCAGACTGCTCAGGGCCCCATCCAGCCTGGCCTTGAACACTTCCAGAGATGGGGAATCCACAAGCTTTCTGGGCAGCCTGTGCCAGTGCCTTACCACCCTTGCAGTCCAGAGACAGTTTAAGGCCATTCCCCCTATCCCTGCCTGCCTTGGGAAAAGTCCCTCTCCAGCTTCCTTACTGACCCCCTGAAGGCACTGGAAGTTACTGTAGAACTCCTAAAAGGTCAACAACGAAAAGGAGTCGGTTGGTTGTGACCGTTGGCTGTCATGAGCCCAGTAATCCAGAATGTTGAGGGATGGACCAATCAGAAGGCTCTGGTCCAGGTGACACCATAAGACCTTGGAATACCTGTGGCAGTTGGAGGGGCAGAGCAGTGGGAGGCCAGCGCAGCAGCAAGTCAGTGCAGCCTGTGCTCCTGTCTTGCTTCCCTCCCATTCCCTTTTTTTGGCATTGGCGTTGTTCAGTGGAAGTCGCCCAGGACCTTCTTGAGTCGGAAGAGGAACACCTGAAGAAATGAGTGCAAGTATTCCTTCGATGGACCTTCCCAGCTGTGAAGTCCACAGACTTGGGGAGATCGCAGACCTCGTGAGCTCTGTTGGCCGCTCACGCGTTGGTAAGGAAAAGCTAGCCCTGGCCTTGAAAAAGGAAGGTTATATTCCCAAACTGATGCAGCTTTTCCAAGTCTGCGAGAATTTAAAGGACACTGAAGGCTTGCGTCTTTTGTTTGACATTGTGAGAGGAATTTTGTACCTGGATGAAGATGTTCTGTTTGAGGTGATGTTTTCTGACGAGTGTATTCTGAATGTTGCTGGATGCCTTGAATATGATCCGTCTTTGGCTCAGCCAGAAAGCCTCAGGGAGTTCTTGATGAAAACAGCAAAGCTTCAGGAAGTTATTCCTACAAGAGACCCCGAAATCAGGCACAAAATCCGCCAGACATTCAGGGCACAATACATTCATGCCATCATCTCGCAGAATTCATCTGACTTGGAAGAGGGTTTTCTTTCTACCCTCACTGCATTCATCAGACACAGCGAAGAGGAGATTTTAAAAGTCTTGCAGGTAAGTGGGTTTCAGTGTGGCCTAGATGGGATCTGTATAGATCCCTCTGGCTGTGGTTTGGAAATGGGTTACAGCTGGTGAACACTGTCTAAGTTAATCACTTTCATTTGCACAATGTTTGAATGCTTCCCCTTCTTTCTGATGCTTTGCATTCTGTACTTTCATAAACGGTAGATTTCAAGTGAGTATCTTAATACTTTTTAATGGGTTGTAAAGAGTTTAAAGTCCTTCTCTGTGATTGCCAAGCAACATACACCTTTGGAACTGGTTTTGTGTAGGTATTTCAGGAACAAGCAACATTTGTTATTCTCTGTTAGGGGCATTTGTTACACTGTTTTCCGTGTGAAGGGGTACAAAGAAATACATGTGCAGAGAGGGCAGAGAGCACTCAAACGCTTGAGAGATGATGATGTTCACCCTGGTTTTCTTGGAGTCTGAAGAAACAGGGTAACCCAAATGCTTTACAAGAAATAAAATGTTGTCCTATATATCCTTGAGTGAGCCTTGGCAGCAGAGGATATGAATCTGAGAAGCAAAGAATAGTCCCAAAAGTTTCCCATCTTGGCAAAGCAGAGCTCCTGCAAGTGGGAGAGAAGGTTTTATTGTGAGTACGATTAAGGAGGACGTGTCTGCAGCCAACTTGTAACCTGTTAATCTTGTCCCCCTTGCAGAGGTGGACTGAAAAGATGCCTTGCAATGCTACAGGTCCAAAAGAGGGAAACTGGTCCTGTGGGTTGTTCATAGTGTAGTGTGAACAGCGTGGGTGCAGCAAGGTCAATATTGTCTCTTGGTGGGCACTTTCTAGTGCAGAAGTGCATGGGTTGCTTCCCTGGAAGGTTCCATGCAAGGTGCAAGGCGGGAGCCTGGCACAGCTTTGGACTGCCCTTTTCTGTCCTTTTGCTGGGGGTGGGGTGTGTGGCATATCCCACAGGGAATCTATGAGGTTGAGAAGAGCTGCAAAGCCCTGGGGTGGAACAGCACAGAAGGAAAGGAAGTGCCACCCTCTGTAGAGACGAATTTAGGGGTCAGTTTAAGGGATCATCTCCTCTGCTCAGGTTCACCTGTGGCTCTGGTCTCCCAGAGCTGCTTGTGCCACACACGGGAAGTGCTGAAACAATACACTGGAAATGATCCTGCTGAATGTGTACTCCGGCATTTGCTTTCTTTGGGATAAAAATAATGGCAGTGTGGAGAGTTTGACTTTGTGCAGTGGAGGATCCTAGAAAGATTTATTTTCACTCTCCAGAGGCACTGTCTAAGTTGTGTTCTTTTTGTGTGTTCCACAGAAAGATGAGATATTTTTCTCTGAAATTTTTGCAAAATTGAATGATGAAGCTACAGCTGATGAGCAACTACGTGAATTGGTAAGCCAGTGTTCTCGGTGTTTCCTTGAATGCTTTAAATGAAAGAGATGAAATAGAAAGAGTGAAACTGTTCTGATAGTTACAGTTTGTGTTAAAGGGAGGGTGTCCTGGCTGATTCTCCAGAAACGCCTCCAGGACCGCAGAACTGTTTCCTCCTTTCCGAGAGTTTTCTGACTCAAATAAACCTGGCCTTATTTTTTTCTTGTGCACTAGGTGAAGTTTTTCAGGGAATTCTTTGCCTTTTCTTATGCATTACCTGAGAATAGAGGTGAATTTCTCAACACTTTGGCAAAGTTTGAAATTCTTCCAACTCTTGAAAGGTTAATGGTAAGTGAAAATGTACAGCTGATTTTAATAAAACTAGAAAAGGTCTTAGTGATTTCACCAGTGTTTTGGACCTACCTCATCTAAGTCTGATGGGAGAGCTTTGCTCTGCTGAGAGTGGAAGTTCCTTGTGATGTTCAGCCTCCAAAAGCTGCCCACAGTTCTACTCTGGAGCAGCCTGGCTTGATTGCTCTTATTATTTTTACTTTGCATGATGGAGAAGTCTATGGGCAGTGCAGTCCTTGGGACAAGGTGGTGTGAACCTTGAAAGAGACTCTTCTTGATGTGGCAGCTTGATTGGTTTTTTCGTCAGACACAATCCTATCTGAATTCTTGTTGCCTGCAAATGAGCAGAGAAATTGTTGTACACCTTGATTTGTACAGCTGGTCCTTTTGTACCAAATGAATTGTGGATAACAGGTAGAAAAGATCAGTGTCTGAGATATTTTAGCAAGTAGGCTGATGTGAATGTTTCTGGCCTAAATTAGGGCTCTCAAGTTCACGGAAAACCTTGTGTCCTTTCTAAAGGAGGGAAAGAGTGGGAAAAGATTTGTCTGGGTTCTTGTTGTTCTTCTGTAACTGTTTTACTGTGTTTCTCCTAGAAACTTTTGTAATGAAACATTGTCCAGATTTTTAAGTGCCTCTCCTTTGAATCTTCACTTGATAATAAATACCAAACTTGATATACTCTAACAAATTAATCTCTTTTGTCTTAGGGAATGAATGATCTGCAAGTAAGATCTGTTGCTGCAGATATATTGTCTTATGTAGGATACTTTAATCCTTTCACGGTCCACGACTTTGTACTGCAAGAGGCCCATCAGAGTGACAATGTAAGTAAAAGTGGTTTGGAGATTGTTAACATACTAGTTTTAGGGCAAACAGGGAAATAATGAGGCAAAGTCTCAATTTCTGTGTTTCCTTTTCATTTTTATTTTAAAAAATTACAGAAACTGGGGAACTCATTCCATTCCTGCTAGTAATTATTTTGTGTTTTCTTTGTTGGTTGGTTTGTTTTTTTGCAGAACAACCAACTCCTCATTGTGATCATTGAGCAGCTGATCAACAACTCTGACCCTGGACTTGGAGGAGATAATCAGCTAAAGAAGATTTTGCTTATTCTGATTGATCCAGAGAATATGCGGGAACGCGTTAGTGTAAGTGAACATGAAGGGCAGAAGAGACATCACTGTCTCAGCAAAGTTAAAAGCCTGAGAGTCTCTATTGCTATTATTGTGGGCAGAGAATAAACAATTTTAGGAGTTTTTTTATTAAGTGGAGTGTGGTCTGGTAGTGAGTTTAAATAAGCAAAACAGAAGTGAATTTTGCTAATGAAAGTGTGTCTGGGGCACTGTGCAGGCACAAGACCAAGCAGTCCCCTGTGGCAGTGCCATAGCACTGTCTAACTGTAGCTCCCTCTAGCTGGATGATGAATCCTGAAATAAGAGAGTCCAGTAGAGTCTGTGTGAAACCAAATCAATGTTTTAATACATTGTAATGTCCCAGAATACCAGTCAAAAGGTTTGCAGGTTGTTCTGGCTGCAGAAGAAACTGCACATCAGAGTGGTTTAAGGTCACTTGGTAAAGCACTTTGAGTCATTGAGGAGTTTCTGCATTTGATGTGTTTATATTTGCATCCATGCTGGGGAGCCTTTTGGTGATAGCTAGGTTGATTGGCTGTCTCACAGATTTTTCCCAAAATAAATAAGTCAGTCTTGCTTGAGTGAAGACAGTGCTGCAGGCCTAAATAAAAGATACAGGCAGAACTGAGGGAGTCAGTAGAATTCTTCCCAGGCTGTTTCTTCTGCTACTACTCTTTCATATTTAAAAGACTATATGTGATTGCCAGAGTTTAATGCAGTTACTGTTGTTTTAGAATTTAGAAATATTTGAGTTTCTCGATTTCTTCTACGACCGTTGCATTCATGTTCTTACTGCCCCACTTCTGGCTGATACATCAGACAAAGGTAATGACGATTTTTTTCCCCCTTTAATCCTGAAATGTTTTGATGGGAGTTATAGTCCTGAGAACAACAATAGGCCCCTGATGCCAGCTGGGAATATTCCCGCTACAAACTGTTGTTCCTTCAAGGACAGTGGTTCTACTGGCAGGAGTTTTCATTGCCCTTTCTTGCAGCTGTGAATGCTGATGTAGCTTGATGCTGTGCTTTGCACAGATGTACTTTCTTGATGTCTATTGTGAGTCATGTAGTAGTTTTCCTAGTCTGATTTTAAAGAATATTGGCTGTAA